CCAAAAAAAAATCACAAACGATTATCATATTCCCAGGGATAAATGCTTGTTGTTCTGCTCAGCAATCTTACATAGCAAACACATACTATTCAACACGTTTTCTTCAAGTTTTCCTTCTTTACTCAGTAATGACAAATCTTCATAAGACGAAGAAACAACCAAAATACGATTAGAAAAAAGCGAGAGAATGAGAAAGAGAGGAAGTACCTGTTTTCGGCTTTGGAGATGCAAGTGTATTAGTACCTTTGAATACAAATGAATCTAGAACCTGAATCCAACTCTTCTGTGCTTGGCCCGGATCTCGAGCCAAGACAGGAGGAGCAAACCGGATCTCCAAATCGGACCTCCGGTTTGGACCTCGAGATTACACTGAGACCAAAAAAAAAAAACAGCGAAGAAGAAGACAGTGAAGCCAAGATCAAAGACAGAGGAGGTCTGAGAGAAAAAAAAAAAAACCTAGATCCGAGCTTGATTAAGCAGGGGGTATGGGTCCGTGTCTCAACCGGTTGTGGAGAAGAGAGTGAGAGTAAACGAAATGGAGGAAATGGATGAGGATGAAAAAAGAAGTGAGGGATTTTATATAGGGAGGCTACGGTTGCGGGTACACGTCATCAAGACGGGTTGTGTGTCCACGTGGCACTGACGCTGCGGAAAAGGATCACCGTTGTTGCCGGTCTTTCGCTTACACCCGGCGACATCCTAACCGGCTAGGGCTCTTTAGGATGGAAATGATTTAAATTACTAAATTACCCTTTTTCGCTTTTTGTCATATAATTTTGCATTATTTTGTTGGATATTTATTTTACTTTCTATTTTTTCCATGAAACTAAATAATTATATATATATATATATATATATATATTTATGAGTATCAAGAAAGAAAGAAAAAAAAAAAATCGGTAATCAACAACTAAACATCAACAGCTAATATAACCTAAATCAATAATTAATTAGGAATCAGTAATGATCCAAAATCAACTACATCTTTCATCTTTTCTTATATAAATATTTAATGAGAATATATAATCTTTTCAAAAAAGCTTTCTTCATAATTAATCAAATAAATCAATGACAATTGTTTCCGATAAATAAGTAATGATTTTTCCTCAAACAAATTTTTAATAACTAATAACAATCTAGTAAGTGCAAAAAAATTAAATTAAAATTTAATCCTTTTTGGTTGGGATTAATTGGATTATAAGTTTTAGCATTATATTTTTATATTTTATAATGTAAACAATGATCTTCATTTCTACTTAAGCCTAATTAGGTATAGAAATATTTATACATCATTTGTCTATTTTTAAATAAAAATAAAAGATTTATTGAAACATAAAAATTAAATGTACAATAAAAAATATGATGATTATCAGATTATGTAAAGTAGTGCACACGATATAAATAAATATACATTAAATAATATAAGAACTGAACAACACAATCTTCTATTGATGGTCGTATTTTAATAAAACATCAGCAACCACGGTGATCGTATCTAAACAGAACATCATAAAACCACATATACAAATGGACATATATGGATCACACAACTTTCCTCTACGCTGATGATCACTATTTGAATACATGTAACTATTATTTGAGTGGTGATATTGTTTTGTAATAATTGTTAAAATCCTCAAAGAATGGTCTTTACTGAATCAATAAGTTATTACGAGTTTTCTACTTATCATTTAGTATTAAGTATCTTGTTATCACACTATATGTGTAAATTTTAACATATGTTTTAAGTTTGTAGTGATTTAATGTAAAGGTCCGGAATCTTGAATAAATAAATTTGTAATTTAAATGTGGAAGCGGATAATAAATTTAGGGTTTACATTTCTTACACAATAATTTAGAATGTCCAATAGGGATACGAGAATATTCATTCTAAAATACAAACGATTAATTAAAAAAATATGAATAAATAAACATTTTACAATAACCTTCATTAACACTTGAAGAGAGTCCAGAAGGTGAACTACTCACAACTCTCTATCTGATCGAGATCTGGATCTTGATTTTCTTAATATGAAATAGTTAATGAAAAGGTAAACTACACTAACTTAGTAAGAATATTATACTAATCACATACACGAAAAACCGAATATTGGTAAAAAATCAAAAAACTACTAATGAAGCCCTTACTTTACATAAATATATTTAACTTTAAAAATTTTTATTCGATACATACTATTACATTTTTTTCAAAATTAACCTATGAAGACAAATAAGTAAATATTTTAATTCCATTCATAAGATCACAATTTTTTTTTTCTTTTTTACCTGTTTATTGGTACCTCTGTGGGTTCATAGGGATGTTTCTTTACGCATGAACCAAATATCCAATTTTATCAATTAACGATCGTCCCCATATCCTGTCCATTAATGAACGTCAAAATACAATCGTCTCGATACCCCGTCTAGTATGATGGTGAATCTTATCTCCTAAACCTTTCCGATATGTGACTTCACTACCCTATCCGATTGAGAAAACATTCACGATAGAGTGCTCTATGTTTAGACCGATTGTGTGGACGAATATGTACTGTCCATTACGATTGATCTCGTCCGTCTGATCGATCTAAGGAGGAAATGAATCTGAGTCATTCACGTACGCGGAATCGACCCTGAGCTGTCAGATCGCTGGGTACGCAAATCGCCCGCATGCCACTAACGTCAGCGTATTTTGTTACGCGGCGTGCTCCGGTTCGTCGAAGTTACTGACTAGGTCGTCCTACATGGCCAAATTTTTTCTTTTTATATTTTGACCCCTTGTTACCAATTTTTTTTTCAAAAACATCTCTCCAACTTAAATTTTCACCATTTTTTTTCAAAATTACTTTCAATTATGTCTCTAACCTATTTTTTTTCAAATAATTTAATAAAATAAAATTAAAATAATTTAAATTTTTTTTAATTATTTTTATAAATGTCAAAATTAATATCAGACCAAATTTCGGATCCAAATATTACATTTAATACAGTTATGTATGGAACATAAGAAAAGATAAAAAATGTCAGAGAGTCAACTTATAAAATTTTAAATGAGTAATTTTTTAAATAAAAGTGTAGAGGCTTGGAACTTAAAGGAAAATAAATTCATAAATTAAATGCGGAAGTGATTAATAGAGTTAGAGTTTACATTCCTTACATAATAATTCTGAATATCCAATAGGGTTACGGGAATATTAAAAAAAAAAGCGCCACGTCAGCAGCCACGTCAGCGGCCCAGTCAGCAGCCCTGGCCAACCAGGACCTGCCGCGTGGCAAGACCACGTCGACCAGGGAACGGGCCACGTGGGCGATCCGCGTGCGCGCGATCGGATGGCCCAGATGCGTCCCTGCGCGCACGGACGGCCCAGATCAAGCGTGCGCACGGACGGCCCAGATGCAATCGCACGGACAGAGCCAGATGCACGCGCACGGATGGCCCAGATTCAATAAAAAATGGACGGCCCAGATTTAATCAAAATGGACGGCTGTGATCAAAAGGCAAAAGGGTATAAATAGAACCCCCACACCTGACCACAAAAACCCTAGCCGCCTGACCTCGCCGGAGAAGACGAACCAGACGCCGGAGGAGCCGGCCGCCGCCACCCGCCGCCGCACCTGGGAGTTTTTCGACCGCTGATCGAGGTAAATTTCATACCCCTGACTCGTTTTTCCATGCTGAGTTCCCCTGTGGCCAAATCAGAGCCAAAATCCCGGCCAAACGGCCGAAAAACACGGCCGAAACCCAGCGGCGCCGCCGCGCCCCTCCTTGGTTTTTGCTTCCGATGAGGCCCTTCTCGGCCTCCGTTTGATGCAATTTTTATATCACCGTGATCACCATTCTTTTCTCTACAGGTTGATCGGAGCCGAATCACCAAAACATGAACCTCGCCGGAGAGCCGCCGCACCCGAGAGCACCGCCGTCGGTAAGCTTCGTTTTCCGTAATTTTTTTGGCCCCCCGAGGGCCCTAGGGTTGTTTTATCACAGGGACCGATGCAAGTGTGGCCGAATTCGGCCGAAAATGGCCAACTCGAGGCGAATTGTCGCCGCAAGCGGCGGCGCCGTCGCCGGAGCACGGCGGAGCCGCCGTGCTGGAATTGCGATATTGGCCGAAAGGGGTCCTGGGTCTAATTTGGGATTTTTTGGAACACGTGCAGGTACCAGTAGTGTGTTTCAGTTCTCCGGAAAAAATTCAGGAAAAATTAGGGACAGCCTGTAGACGCACTGTGGAGCCGTGTTCGGACCCCGAAACGAGTAAGGACCCCTCACCCTACTTCGTATCACGGTATTAAAGTTCAATAAATGATAAAATGGTATCTCATGAATCAACAGATGTGTGAAATTGTTTTAAGTCACTAATGGAGCCCGAGTCTGGTGTGTTTGTCTGTTAGCTGTTGTTTGGCCTATTTTACGGTTTTAAAATGCAGTATGAGGTCTTATATTTTCATTTCATAGTTTCGTGTGCACATATTACTGTTTTATTGATTATGGTTGAATGACTGAGAACCCGATGTTGTGTGTTGTCTTGTTTGGCATAAATTACTGGTTTGCTTGTTTGTTTGCGAATTGATGATGCTGACTGAGGAAAAGGGGAATGAAAGGTTATGTGAATTGATAATTGTATAATGTGGTCAGCCTGACTAGATATCCTGGGAGATGGTGGATGGACCGGGTCCGTAGGGAACCCTACCGGGATCGTGGTCTCTCATACCGGACGGGGTATGGAGATCTTATGTGTTTTGGCGCCCATACCGAACGGGGTATGGGGACGGCCCGTTTCACCCTCATACCGGACGGGGTATTGAGGTTTATAGTTTTAGCGCCCATACCGAACGGGGTATGGGGATGGCCCTGGAATCTGATTACAAGTGTTAAGGGTTCACAGGTAGCGGGACCCCTATGGATCCCCATGGATACTAGTAGGCTGGTAAATAAGGAAAAATATGTTGTGTAATGATTGAGATGCAAAAGGCGTGATAAGTATTATGTTATACAGTTTCTATGATTTCGTGATGATGATAATGCTATTGTTTTCGTATATTGTTTTATGAATTTCACCGAGATAAGTGGATAGTAAAGGTTTTTATGTTAATAAACGAGTTTGTTGTAAACTATGCTCCATTGGTCCTTTTGTGTTTTCTACCCACCTTTACCTCCGTGACGGTGAGATAGTGTGATGTCTTTACTGGGCTGGTGTAGCTCATTCCTTATTTAATCATTTCAGATCAGGAAGATATTGTTCCCGAGCCCGTTCCGCAGGAAGACGGCGAAGGGGACGCCTGAAGACTCCGTAGTCATATTTATAGCTTTTATTTTTGAGTTTCTCTTTTAGTTAGTTTGTTCTTTTATACTTTGAGCACATTTTTTGTTTTAGTGTAAGGGATGTTAAATCAAAATTTTTATTACGCTTCCGCATTTGACCTTTTTAATATACATATTTCATTTTAAAATTTCTAGGGCCGTTACAGTTGGTATCAGAGTCAGGTTTCGATCCTGGGACCTGTGGGTTATGGGCCCACCACACTTCCGCTTGTAACAGCTCCTTTAACCCGACTCACTCCCTGTTCTGCATCCTTCTTGCGGGTTACTAGGGCGGAGTCGACTGACTGGGCTTTCTTTATTCTTTGGATTAACTCGGGTTGGACTGCTAGGTGGCCCAAACATGTGG